CAGAGCAAAAATTTATTTTCGGAAATAGCTGTCGATGCGAGCTTGACGTAAGCATGCAGCACGCTCACGCTGAATCTCCCTGCGCAATGAACGCAGACGTCGGTGTAGTTCCAAACCGATCTCGGTCCTAGACTCATTCGCGCGCAGTAGAAGGGCGATAGATTTCAGTTTCGCCTCACAGGTGATGACTGGCCATGCCTCATCCTCCTCATCCGATTCACATCGACCCCAACCCCACGGCCCTGCTCAGTGACAGCCATAACTACACAATCAACCATATATCCATGCTCGAATCCCTGCCAAATGTCCGTGTCATCAGAGTTCAATAAATTGCGTACTGACATCCTATCTCGCGTGTGCACTAAATCGCTAATAACCGCTTCGAGCTCCGTGCATTCTTCAGAAATCTCATTGTCCGCATCTGCCGCTTGCAGCTTGCTTACGTTAGTACCAATCAGTTCAGTCGCTTGCCAACAATTTGCAATGATTGGGCCAGGTAGTTCTTTCCAGATGCTGTCGATATATCGCATTGCCGTAAGTTGTGATATATTGTAAATATCCCCGGCTTCTTCCTCGAGAGAATCCAGAGCTCGGTTGCACTGGGCAGATCGATATCTCCTTCTTAGAGAGCAAATAATGGCCGCCTCCAGTGGTTTCAGTTTTGAAGCTGTATTTGGCCGCAAGAACTCTACTCGAACCGATGCAACATCGGGTAATTTTGCTTTGGTCCCATGACCAGAAAAATTATCGAGGAGGAGAGCGGTACGGCCAGAGGTCTTAGATATGTACGTGTCAAAGCGTTTTAGCCACTCAAAACAGAGCTATGGTCATCCATGCCTTCTTGTTATGACCATAGTCGAATCCAAGTTGCTCTCCAGTTCTCTTTTGAATGCATCGCGGCCGACGGGCAGAATCAATAATGAAAAGAGGAAATTTCTCGGATCCCGTACTGTTGCAGCACACCAATAATGTTACCCGCTTCTTTTTCTTTTTGTGCCCTGACCTTGAAAACGTTGATATACTGCGATCGGGCGCCATCGAATAATTCCAGCCGGTCTTGTCTGCATTCCAAACATCCTCTGGCTTGTACTCATGACACAAGTTACGGAGATCTGGAAGTGCTTGTGCAATTGCCTTGTCATCTGCGTCACCAGCTTCTCCATGAAGTTTCCGAGCCTTCAAATTCAATCGATGCTGGAAGTTCCACAACCAGCCTGCAGTGAACTTCAAGCGTGGAACATTTTCGCCGAGATCCGTGCAAATATCCTGCAGCAACCGCTTTTCCTTTTCGCGTATCATATCTCCAGACACACAGTGACCTTGCATGTTGCGATCGTTGACCCATGCAGCGAGTTGTTTTTCGAGCTCCCGTTGAGCAGGCGAATGCTGTCGCATCATCTGAGCATTGTTTCCTGGCTGTAAGTTCCCACTGCGGCTGAGACGAGACAACACGGGCTTTCAAGGGAGAAAAGACAGCCTGAGCTCCGTTTTCGCCCACTTAGAGACCTCGTTGAGGATGAGATTTTGACCAGACTTCCGAGGTTTCGTAATTTCTTGATTAATAACGTGTTTCTGTGCGTGGGTGAGGGTGTTTCGCTTCATTGCGCTGGAGTGGATCGTCGGGGTCGGAAATGATAGAGCTATGGTCCTGAATATTAAGCATTTTTGACTGAGACTATGTTTGAGCCATAGTGTCAGGACCCAGATCCGGTTCTGTCTTAGATTCCTTATTGAAAGTGTAAATGTGACATTAAAGGCATTTGTATGACGCTTTCTGGAATTGGATTTATACTGAATTTTCCTTACATCAAGGGATGGAAGGAATGGCTGTAGTACGGTCAAAAATGATACCACGCGCATGGTGGACGCCCTCGGACGTCTTTTAACAAGGAATTCCTTACACAAGGTTCCTTCAATCACGGGATGACTGTATTACAAAATAGTGCGCATGGGGCGGAAAGCCGGCCGTGAAACTAGTATTTCTGGCGCCTGCTGAGTTGATTAACGAGAACAAGCGAAAATTTGAGGAAGACAGAAGAACATCAAACGTGTTATGACTGCTTCTCCTATGCAGCACGGCATTCGGCCGATGGCCTCTCTGTAATGCCTCTATGGATCTTTTACGCAAACGAAGGAAGGTAGCGAATCAGAGCCGCTTCTCAGATTTTTTAGACGGTAGATTTGAAACTATCCGGCGGAACGGTCCATTTGAGCGGTAAGGGAGGAAACCCAGGGAACCAGTTTTAACCGGGGTTTCGAAATAAAGTTGTTGTGCGTTCAACTCAAAAGCCCCCTTGTCCCAGATTTACCTTCCAATTTTCAATGAATTCACTAAACATGACGAAGGTCCTGAGTCTCTCCTACATCTTTGTTGATTTTGTATCATGGATCACAATATGAATATAGTGTGCCCTTGCTGTGCTGCTCCTCTCTGAGGTCCACGTTATTGTCGATGTGGCGATGGTTGAGGTATGATAAGGGAAGGATACTAAGGATACTGAACTACAGTTGGCACCCCGGTGCTCTAATAAGTCGGCGGCGCGGCCGCTCTGTGACCTCGCGCCCTCCCGGGTTGTCGGAATATAGCAAAGTCTAAGAGTCGTTCTCTACTTTGCTCGCCCCTCGGCGTGCGGCCGAGGCTCCGGCGCTGGCGGCCCCTGCCGCCACAGAAGCGGCAGGGCCTAATGGGTGTGACGAAGGAGGGCGGTGTCGGACGAAACTAATGACCACTACGTGGTCTCGGCGTTAGCCGGGATCTACAAGGGTGAGCGCGGTCTGGTAGCCCGAGTAAACTTCATCTTTCTCTAACTCTCCTTGTTTGTCTCGGGACCAGATTGACAGTTATGGTTCACGCCTCGCCAGTGACGAAGTGTCTGGTGTTCCACTGTGATTGCCTCGCAAACCATTTGGATCAAATACCGCTCGCCGTCCAACTCAAACCCGTCTGCCCTCTTGAGAAGGAACGTACGAAAACATAGCCTCTTGCTTTACCTTTCGAAAATCGGAAGGTGCCTCTCCAGTCAAAGAATTAGCGAGGTTTTGACGAGTTCCGCTGCGAGACCTTCCATATTCCTACATCTCAGGGAAGCCAGACACCTTTGGCACACGAAATTAGAAAAAGTTGAATTCGCTTTCTGACGCTATATGACTTGCGAAAGGCAAATTTTCACGGCAACTGGGTCGAGTGAATGGTCTGCGTGATGCGCCCCATATAGTTTCGTATGCACCAGAACTAACACAAGCAGCAATAATCCATCTATACAGTGATATACAGTAGAAATGGAGGGGAAATCATATTTCGCTCTGAATACTGCACGGAGGGATAATATTTGTGAAGAAATTGTTACGAGGTAAGAGTGGGGGAAAGCAAGGCTAAGAGAACTTGAGCCCACTCCCCCCCCCCCCCCCCCCCCCCCCCCCCCCCCTTCATATACGGTTTTTGGAGAGAGATTTACTGGTTCTGAAATGAAAGTTGACGGTTGAGAGGATGACAGTCGTTGGAGATGGATGATGGACTCCTTTTTGTTTGATACCATTTATTGTACTGGACCGGCAACAGCCAGCGTACTTATACCCTACATGTTCTCAGCAAAACCCACCTAATAGCGTCGAACAGGATTCAATGGCCACAATAGCGGGGACCACGACAAAGTAGTAACAACACAATACGACATAGAAAATAGAACGAAGAGGACCGAGGACGTTGTCCCGAGGACCTCAAATTCTCCTCCAAATTGTTTCTCGTAGGAACATGAAAATAGGGGACGTGCTGCAAAATAATCCAGAGCACAACAAAGCTCCTGCACCTGAAGCTTTAATTTTCTGCAGGACTTTGGGACTTTGGGAAGCGGGGGGGACAGAGGTTCAGCTGAATTCGTATTCATGGATCTTTGTGGTCCTCGATTCCATTTATTCCTATCGAAATACAAGACCAGCTTGAAAGGAGTGTGACTGACTTCGACATATTTAACATAGTTCCGGTACATTTATCCGCAAACTCAATCGCTGCAGAATCATTTTCTCAGCGATACGTACTTCCGTTTTATGTTCCCTCGTCAGGTACTAAGTTGCTGCTCTTCGTTCTGAACTCCGTTCCCGTTTCGTGGTGACCTGTCCAGACTTGCCATTAGCAGGTCTCGCGCGCTCCTTTTTAACCTTAGGAATGTAAAGCGTCCTGTTAGTTCTAGTCATGTAAATATCAAGCGCATGAAATTCCCTGAATGGCCGTTAAGTATTGCGAGCCATTGGAACCGAGAGAATTGAATTTTTTTGAGACCAACTCCTGCAACTAGAGAGGCTATCGAAATTAATTTCTATTAATAGCGACTTGTTTTAACTAAACCTAGAGTGTCATGAGATGCCACTTCTTCTTTTACTCTTACGCTTTTTTGCTGTTAAGTTAAAAGGATACGTAAGAAAGCATTCAGAAACGATACAAACCCGGTTGGAATACAATTGTATGGGTGTTGTGGCTTTGTCTCGCTTTGGAGAATTCCGAGTCTGTCTGAATATCCGCAAAAATAGGATGTGGTTCTCAACGTGGGTGCCACCACAAGTTTCATGATGTTCACAAAAACAAGGCGAACATCGAAACATGGACGGGGCTGTATATGATTCAGAGGGAAAGGTTTAGAGATATTTTTTAGTCACCCGATAGCGACTGGTCTCTTCACATGCATGTCAGATGCGGAGGATATCAAGGGACTTCGGTCTTCAACACGGCGAAAGACCGTTCACTATTGCTTCGTTCCGGTTTGGTTAAAAGCTGAAATGATATTATAAGACCCACAAAGAACGGAACTGTTTCCATTTCGGTCAGAATGACCGTTCAGGATTCCATACTTCCATGCCGACAAAGTCTTGCAGAGAATAAAGATTATGAACTTTGTCCTGTGACTATAAAACCCCGTGTGGCCTGGCTTCAAACTCACCATCAAGTTTCCCTCTCGCACATCTTTTGTAATCTGTAGGCCTTATACCAGCATTCATTTTTCTGTCAAATGGCGAGGGATCACATCGAGGGTACCGTCCTTATGGACAAATGGGCCGTTTCTCGCAAGCTCAGTTCTGGTGGGTATGGCGTAGTTTATAAAGCTTATGATCTCTACGACGAAAGACACAAGGTTGCTGTCAAAACAGAGCCTGTTAATACACGCAACTCCTCTTTGCCAAATGAATACCAGTTTTACAAGGCCCTTGGCAATGCTCCAGGATTTCCAACTATGTACGATTACGGGAGAACAAGTGATGGTTCTTATCGGGCCCTTGTCATATCTTTACTTGGAAAGTCACTGCACGATCTGGTACACCAAGAGAACGGGACATTCTCACTTAAGACTGTCCTTTGCGTTGGCGTTCAAGGCATAGACCTCCTTAGAACAATCCATAGTTTAGGATACGTTCATCGTGACATCAAACCTGACAACATGATGATTGGGAGACGGTACCCAAGTGAGATTCAACTAGTCGATTTTGGCCTGGTGGCTAAGTATAGATCTGGTCGACACCACATAGCTGACGAGGGCGAAGGTCATGGATTGCGAGGCACCATTACGTACGCATCCATTCGCAGTCACAAAGGAAGGAGATTAACAAGAAGGGATGATCTCGAGTCTTTTGCATATACGCTCCTCACTCTCGCAAAGGGATATCTGCCCTGGTCTGATATCGAGTCTGAAGGTGACGTGCTTCGCAGTAAGAAGAGTTATTCGACCGCAGAACTATGTGAAGATCTGCCCAGCTGCTTTCTAACCTTGTTGAGAGACAGTCGAAACCTGCGGTTTGATGAGAAGCCAGATTATTCTGGGATTCAAAGGAGTTTCGTCCGTTCTCTTCACAAGAGAGGATGGAAGGTGAAATCCAGGCTTGATTGGATGAACTAAAAGAGAGTCCCATATCTTACAGAATCAGAAGTTCCATATCTTATGCTTTTTAGAATGGTGCAATTCATGAACCAGTAAAAGCAAAAGATTTATACGTTTGCAGTACCAATTGCTTCAAATTCTACAGAGCACGTTTCCAAACAGTGCGCTCTTCGATATATTCACATTTCTGTGGCTCAACACGGGCACAATACCCTGCAATTCGTAACAGGGCCTTTCACGTTTCCAGAACTACAATCGGACAAGTTACCTTAGCTCCCCTTCCTTCGCCATCACCTTTCCATTCTCTGCGCAGCCGAGACTGTGCACGTTGCTCGCCGCCAAACTTATTAAACAGTCTCCTTGTCTAAGCATTCTTCGCAGAAAGCTGGCCATACTCAAATTTATGTCTCCGGGCAATAGCTTGGATAAAGTGTATCATGAAAGTCCTTGCGTCTATCCGACCAAGCGTTATTATAACATAAACATCTACGAATTTTATTTCTTTTCAACTTTGATGGCCACAGTTTCTATTTTCTTGGTAGATGATTGACTGGTTTTAATTTTTTTTCTGAAGTTAGAACCTAATAGGAAGTACTCATCAAGGCCATGTTTCTATGCCACTGGTATAAAATTAGCTTAAAGAAAAATGCTTACAGTAAGCCAGCCATTTCATTCGTACACCTTTATATACATCAACAAGTTGGTTTTCACTAGAATCGACAAGCAAACTATTTAGCGGTGGTGATGGCCTTCTGGTTTCAAAAAACAGAAGTTAAATCGCGAGTTGGGTTGTCTAGAAAAAATAAAGTAACTTTTGTCATCATATGAGGACTAACGGTCCGACAGACACTAGCATCTCCTGGGCCGACAGCTATCCGCCTACCAACTATCAGTAAAAGTAGAATTGGTCGGCGCGAATCCTCCTTTCCAAAACGGCACAGTTCCCGTAAAGATGACCAACATGCCGGTATTCAGCAATGGCACATGATGGCTTCCACCCTTACCCAGTGATCACGTCAGACACAGCCAAGAGTGTTTTGCCGTCCCCTCTCTTATTCCGCAAAGCGACGGAGCTGATGCCGGCCCATCTCGAGCACCAAAGAGAGAGGGGGGGGGGAGGGCGGGGCGGGAGGACCCAGGAGTGAGAGAAGGGCAGCTGATGTCGTCATAGAAGTGGTCGCTGCGCAGGGCCTGGAAGCTGATGTCATCATTTCACAGTGCGTGTACACGTATTCAAACAAACGTGTACACGTGTTGTGGATGGTCTTCCAGACGGGCGTCATCGTTTTTCTCTCCACAACAGAGGCCCCATGTCTCGTTCAGCGCCCGTACAAGCGGAGCGGGCGCGATGGAAGCGGCTGCGCTGAGTCTCACATGCTTTCTTGTCGCATGAAAATCCTCCGCGTCTCTCGAACACGCAAGTTTCCGCCGGAGCGGGCGTGTGGTCACTGTTTTGGAGAGAGGCGTCGTGAAAGCAAGAACCTGACCACTGGCCTCCATGTGTTGGCGTCCGTCGAGAGCGTACCAGTGTCGCTTGCCAAGTCGTCTCCTGTTCCACGCGGAGCTATATATGTGAGAGTGGTACCACTCATGTCCTCGCCCGGGGCCTGCGAGAAACTAAATCCAGTATCGCATCATGGAAAGTTCAGACAACAATATTCGCGCCAGTAAAAATGATGATGGCTCTGTCTTTTTTCCGGGCCGCCCTCTGAGGATGCTGGAATCGCTCCTCAACGACGTGAAGAGCAGAGAAAATGAGCTCAAAGTCACGCGTGCACGCATCGATGCGGAGGAGGCCGCGCTGCAAAAAGCCCTCATCAACATCAAGGCCGAGAACATCGTTCTCGACAAGGAACGGCGTCGCACTATCACCGAACTCAACAGGGCCCTGTTCGAACGCGACCGCCGCGCGGCGGCCGCCGTCAAGCCGGGGACCCGGGAAAAAAAAGTCGTCCGCGAGTTCAAGAAGAACGGGCCCATCAATGACCGCTGGGTCGTCATCGACATGATCGCACAGGGGTCGAGCTCCATTGTTATGGGCGGCGTCGATATGCGCCACAGTAACGCCGTCGCCATCCGCTACGAGCCGGATCCGGTCAGGAAAGTCTGTTTGGAGCGAGACAGAATTGTATATGAGAGCAGAGTCCTTGCCGATAATGACATCCACAAGGAGCACAACCCCAAAGTGCGCTACCTCGGGCCTGCCCTAGACGGGTACGTCCTCATCATGGACCGGCTGGGGCCATCGTTGGAGGATGAACGTCCGTTTTGGAAACACAAGGTTGACCACGAGGCCGCTATGCTCATAGGCTGCACGATTGTCGGCCGCCTTGAGGCTTTGCATCGCGCGGGCTACGTCCATGGAAACATCCAGCCGGCGCATATTGTCAGCGACTGGAAGCAACTCGGAGGCTATCACCTGATTAGCTTCTCAACCGCCTGGAACTTTATCTGTCCCATAACGGGGAACTTTCAAACTATGCAGCCGCGCACGGAGATCGTTGGAACGCCGCGCTACGCGTCGATCTTGTCGCACCAGCGTCACATCGTGGATCGATGCAGTGATCTCGAGTCGCTAGGCTACGTGATGGTTGAAATGATGACGGGGTCGTTGCCGTGGTCAAATCTGCCTGAGAAGCTTTCGGCAACGGACCATGCAAAAATTGTTCTGCTGAAGCGCGAACTCGCTACCAGCAAGCATGTACAGGGACTCCCGCCGAGAATGATCGAGTACCTGTTGGCGCTGAAGAAATTATCCTTCAACCAGGTGCCAAACTACGAACTCTTTAGCAGCTTTCTGGATAGCCATGCGTCGCCAAAGAAGCCTGCCCGTTCGGCCGAAAATGTGGATGCTATCGAAGTTGGCACTCTTGCGGAGATTTCGGCTGAGCCAGGTTTACCCATGTCGCCGCCACAACGCCCGCGACGAAATTTGTCAACGGCCTCCGACAGAGGCCTCCGTACAGCAGTCTCCAAGGTTTCAGCTGCGAGCATCCCGGTGGTTAGCGTTGAAGAGCCTATGTCTCCTGCACCACCGGAGACCCAAATTACCAATGCTGCACATGCTACCTGGGCGGAAAATGTGGCGGCGATTACGGGCTCAGGCAGGCGAGTGGCACCAACACGGCCGAACGCGGTTGACGGAGAGGCAATACCTGGGAGACGACCGTCTCGGTCGCTATCACATGCGGCTAGCGCCTTCAGCGCATCTGATTATAACTCGGACGTCGAATAGAGAGCGGATCCGGCACAGTACACAGGACTGTACAATACTAAGGGTACAGTACGTATAACACTCAAGTACTTGCCATTATGGGACCAATTAAAGAAATTGTTTTATAGTATGGACCGCTACTATCGAACAAGTGCAAAGCCCCGTTCTAAACAAGCCCTTCCAGCGAGCGAATCGAATGGAAACCTCCACTAGTGCCTAATACGCAATAAATGGGGGGGGGGGACTGCAGTAGGCAGTGCCTACTGCAGTCGTCCTCACCCGCATTATTAACAAAATCGAGACAAGAGATACATCAGTCGGTGTTTATGAGGCGGCGACAGTTGTGGCCTACCGCGGATATTTCTCTGGATTAGATAACTTTTATACAAATTCAAGCAGCTCAGCAAGCACCTATTTAAAACAGGCAATTGCCAACCGCGAATCGCCGTTATTCCCACCAGGATGCATACTTCATATGTTGCGTGCATTAGATCGTAGCAACGGCCCTCAAAGCGTCTTGAATAAGGCGTCACAGAATTGCACCACGCTGGATCTGTACGAGGGTAGGGCTCCTTTGAGAGTTGCGTCTTTCATTATTTGCGATTGTGTTTCCCCTCTCGAACCCATGTAATCAGCTGTTCTTCTCCTAAACGACAGGCTCGATTTGCGCGTCCACATGGCGGCGAATACGTCATCGAGGGCCCTTCAAAAGCTGTATGGATGAGAAAAAGTGTAATTGGCCCCGAAATATCCATCCCTAAAAACGAAAAAACGAAAAAACGAAAAAAAAGAGTAGTGCTCAACCACTAATGCGATGTCCGCCAACACCAAATCCATTATAAATACATTATCACGACACCAACTTCTTGCTATGACTTTTCTGCCTCATCATCGCTAAAACAGCAACTCTACTCGCAGCATTATTTCGCGGCCGCAGGAACAGTCTCAATAATTCTTTCTTCACGCAATGGAAGAGGACGTTCCTCCTTTGTGGGATACACTGCCAACTTGCGAGGAGATAAAACGCATGATGAATGAGTGCTCCACCCGCCCGCCTACTACTAGTCAGAAGGACCGAAAAGTGCTCGCAGAAAAGCAGAGGCAGAAGACGGCTACTTCTCTGGGCAATGACGCCAAAAAATCGACTGACTCTAACTCAAGTGAAGTCTGTCGTTCGGCACCGAACCTGTACTCCACAGCGGGGAATGAAGTCGCCAAGCAGCAAATGCATGTCTTGGACAAGATGGATGCTTTTATTCTCGAACAAACAGTCCAAACGGATACCACAGACGAGCCTTCGACGAACAGCAAGATGACCACGACATCGGGTGCCGCAGTTAATCTCCCTTCTGCATTGCTGCAAATTCCAGAGCGAGGGTTTTGCTCCGGTCACGTCGCGACCGAATCTCTTGCTCGCGTCCTTGCAAGCCACGAGCAGCAGACGTCTGCGCCGAAGGATTCAGCTCTTAAGCGGTGGGTTGCCACGGGTAACTTGACAGATTTAAAACCAGACATACCCGCAGCAGAAGAGCCCTTGGCCCAACACGAGGAAAATGTGGAGAAGTCCTCAGGCAGTACGGAAGGCGCCCGCATCTACGAGCATGTTTTGAGCCGAGCTGCATCCAAGACGAAGTACCCCGACAGGAGCTCTCAAAACAAAGGCAAAAAGGCCGAGGAGGGAAAGCACAGCACACACAGTAGCGGCGCCTTTTGCCCAGAAACATCGACAGAGTTGACATCGCGGAGAGGAGGACGTGTGAAATTTGCTGAGAACGCATGCGCAGTTGCCAGCTCGCCGGAGGCTTCTTCGATTCAAGCCGACGAAGAACACAAGGCTCGATATCCAGCTGAACGAAAAGGTCCGAAAGCAACGAGGTCACAAGAAGAGGGCCTGGGTGCATACATTTCGGAAGAAGACGATACTAGTGAGCGCTCCTCTGGAAACGAAAGTGTGGATACCGAAGAGCCTTTTTGTATGAAAGCACATGGCAACCCAGGGGGGTGCGTGAGCCATGCAACCATGTCTGGAAGCAGAATCATGATCAATGGTCCTGTTATTCAAACTTTGAGGGCTGAGTCGGTTGCGTTTTCAGGTTTCGGCACTCTGCCTTTCGCGAAGGCTTGCATGATTGCAGACGAGGTCAAAGAGAGCAAGAAGAAGGATTGATGCGAACCCTGAAGCTAACTAAACATGCAGTTCGTTGGGTCGAGTGTCGAAATCCGCTATCGCTGGACGGCCATACAAAAGGGTTTTATCTTGTTACTATGTAGAACAGACAGGACCGCTCCTACTGTAGCTGTAGGCGTACGTGCTGTGAGTCGGAAAGCAGTTTCCAGGATGAGATAAACAATTTCAAATGTTGGTTTTCTACCGGCAGTTTGTACTTCATTCTGAGACATGACGTGGCGCTGGGTACTTGGTCCTGCTGAATTCCCGCACCTTCCTTGTGCACAATACACCTGTGTATACTTACATATCTGTTTCACCTTCTCCTCAACCACCCGCCACCGCCTGTGAATGTTTCAAATCACCGAGTCAGTCTGCCGGCGGCGGCCCGCGGGGGGCCGGCGGTTTGAGACTATGCTGGCGTCCCAAGACCGCTATCCTGCACATGGCGTCGACAGAATCCCCGATCCGACTACACTGGACAAAATCTGTTCATCTTCTTGGAGTTGTCAGCTCTTCGTCCGTTGCAGTTCTTTCGATGTCCGACGCCAACTACGCCCGACGCCAAGATACAAAAGGAAGCCGCTCTATCTCTGCGGTAACACCTCTCCATTCTTCCCTCCGTATCCAAACTTGCCACACCTAAACAACCCTCAACCCTCCACCATGCTTCGCCTCTGTGGTAACTTCAGGGAAATACCTGACGTCAAAAGGCAAAAGTAGGTTAGTCCTCCTTCCTTTCTTTATTCACCATCGGTGCACCTTTTATCTCCTTCCACCAGCAATTCTCATGGTCCGTTCTCCTGGACCCAAGGTCAAGTAATTCGAACCTTCCAAGAGTGTTCGGCCAAATTGTGGCTTCAATACAGCAATCCCCCACACCGTACGTGGAGTCCGTCTCGAGGAGGACGCAGACATATATCTGCGTACAGTAGCACAGGCGACCGTTTGGTGGTCAGACAGTAGAGGGTCAGATCAGATGGCGCTACACCTCCTCGTTCTTCTCACTTTCCTCGTCCCTCAATTCGACGCTCATGGTCTGATGTGCACGCCGCGCCAACGCGGGGCCTAACACTCTACCAAGTGTGGCACAGGCCTTCTAATTCCCACAAATCCAATCACTGACCACTGCGCCCACTGCCTCAACGGCGGCACCGTCGAGCAAACAAGACAACACCTCCCGCCAGCAGGCTGGCGACCTTATGAGCCGCTCCGCGATTTTCCTGGTACGGCCACCCGCGCCGGCCTTTGCGGCGACGCCAAGGGCGACGATGCCCACATGATTGGCGGTACGTTTATGCCCTATAGAACGGTGCCCATCGTCGCTACATATGAAAAGGGCGCCGTTATTAACCTTTCTGTCGAGATTGATACCAACCACAACGGCTATTTTGACTTTTACCTCTGCAACCTGGACGCCTGCAGCACTGGCGACATCGCGGAGGCCTGCTTTGCCGGGGGCCACTGGCTCCAGCTGCGGCGTGTCAAGCACGCATCGTGGGAAGACCGGCGAGTGGACACCGACTTCGAATGCGGTCCCGTCGACACCGCGTATCCTGGGCGGTGGTACGTGCCGTGCCGAAATACGGCGCACGTTGGAGTGCATGTCGTCGGCGGAAACGGAACGATGCAGTATAAGCTTCCGAACGACGTCGAGTGCGAACACTGCGTGCTGCAGTGGTACTGGGCGACGGCCAACTCATGCGCGCCGCGCGGGTTTCTCGACTTTTTTGAGCGCTACGACAAGCCGTTCAGCACTGCCTGTCTGACGGCGGCGGTATTGGAGCGCACCGACGTGGCATAGAAGAATGCGGGGGAGTGGTAGTGCCAGAGGAGTTTTGGAGCTGTGCGGATGTGCGTATTACAAAGGACGGAGGCAATTGTGCGGTTGAACCCGCTGGGGACTTTGGCCGCAGCCACGCTCACACCAGCGGCTACGTTGAGTGCGCAGGATCCATCTGGGGGCCATGCGGTGGAGGTATGGGTCAGCGCGTCTCCTTTGGCACTGGTTGATGAGAATGGAATTGTGTGGGGCAGCAAGGCTGGCGATGCATGAGGGAAAATGAGGAGTGTGATGGGAACGTTTCCAGCTGCGAAGAGCAACAGGTATGCGTGTACGTGGATGAGGGCGCGGTATTGCAACAGAGGCAGGCATGGTCTTGGTTTCTTCAGGATGATCAAAAAGATGCACAGTGCGGTATATGCTTGCATCTTCTCATAAGGAAAGGAAATAGATTGCGGCCTGGTTGGCGATCAGTTTCGGGGCGCATTACCTTGCATCGTTGCAATGGGCACATACTTAGTGGATGGATGTAGTTGCTCGCGTCAGATGGCGGGGAATGATAGATAAAGTTTATGTACCCTTCAGGGTATAAACTTATTTTGGGTGGGCGGTTATTTTGGGTGGGCGTGGGTGGTGTTGAAGGCGACACATACCGTAGGGCCCCACATTGCACGATGGGCAAAGACGGTACACTGTGGAAATACCGTACTGTACAACGCAATAAAACATACATCGCTGCGAAGCTTCTCGCATGGGCTTCGCTGTTCAGATGGTAGTTCGACTCTGGTCTGTGGTCGTCGGCTTGCAGCGGATTTGTTTGGAGAACTGGCGTCTTCGTTTGACACTCCATGTTGACGAAACCAGGGAGGGCACTGACCAGGCGACGCGAATATATTGAGCCGCGTGGAAGGAAAGCAGACAAGACGATTGCCTACTGGAGAAAACATGACAAAGAAGTTGTGTCGTCTGACGACAGGCGGAGATTTAGCACCAACTGCACATTATGGTTTTGCGACTTTGCCTTCTTGTGGCATGTTTTTACACGCACAGTGTTATTCGAGGGATGGTTAGAAAGTGCAGCGTGTGTCTAGGATGTAGTGATGTGCCGGACGGGCGGGCATGGAGAGCGGATGTGTTTTGCGGGGACATATGGATGATGATTTACGATGGATCGAAACAGCCACCCGCAAGAATAATTATGTACATCCGGTTTCACATGTGCATGGTTCATTCCTGTCTGTCCATACCTTGGCGTATGCTTGGAAGAGTGATTGAGTACCGTAACAGTTGTTGAACGCGTTCGCTCTCGACAACTGGGGTAATGTTACTCGTAAGGATGTTTAGTGTAACTGTATGGTGCTGTGCGAACTCCATGTCTTTCTTGATTGCACGCCTGGTTGATCTGGAAGCGACTGCTTGTGCAAGCAGTCGCTTCAAGCAGTAGAAGCTTGTAGGGAAAGTGATTCACATTAAACAAAGAAGTGGAAGGCGGCCTTCGGCCGCTGCCGCTGCCTCGGTCACGAGGGCCGGGGCGACTCCCCCCAACTGATAGGGGAGCGACTCGCACAGAACGGGTGGCTCTCCATCTGCCGAAATCTCCACAGCTTTGCTGCCCTTTTTTTCTGAGTGACGTATGGCGAAACTATGGCAGCCAGTATCGTGTCCCCCACGTGTGATGGGAGACGCTCTGCTTGGGCGAGAAAGGAGGGCTGGGCGTCGATCTCGTGGGGCGTATCTGCGCCCCACTTTGCCCTTGCAGCTGCTGCTCCGACACCTGAAGTTGACATCATTGTCTCGGCTAACCTGACATCAGGTTAGGTATACGAACGGCTAAGTGCGCCCGCCTTTTCTCCTACCCTTGGGTACTGTATGTACAGTACCCTTGGTACCCTTGGTACTGTATGTCACGTCCTATCGCACACCTGTGCTGCACCTACTGTACCTTTGGGTCCTGTACCGTACACCTCTCCCGCGAAGCTCCACCACTCGCAAGCGCATCGTCGTAACGGCAGCAGCAAGTACGAGCTGTTCACGACGAGAGCGAGAGCGAGGTGCGCACTGAACAGCTCCGAGGATGCAACAGCAACGACCCATCAAAAATAAACATGAACTGATGTTACACCTTGCCAGTTGCCCTCCTCAAGGAACTCATCTGCAGCTCTGTACTCAAACCCAGGACGAGATGACTAATTTGAAGAAATACACATTTCTTTGGCGGCATAGCATGACTCTCCCCAATCATCTATGCAGTATGCACAGTTTCTTCCGATTATTCCCCTATCGCAAAT